ACATTTCCTTTTATGGGCTTACACTGCAACCTCACCCTGACGACACCCGAATCTGAACTTGAGCCCTAAGACGTTGGTTGAAAATAAAACCCGGAAGCATCTAGGCCTGTCTGGTCATCTGTCAGCATATATAAGGAAGTGCGGCTCCTCTAGAGCAACAGAGACTTCGCAACTACCTGTGAAAAAGTCAGCGGATTCCTCGAAGATGAAACTCTTTGTGGTGTTAGCGTGCGTGCTGGCAGGCTGCCTGGCAGAGAAACCTCACCCATGCAGTAAGTAAAAAAGGAAATCGGAGACGAGCTCTGTTGTGGTTACAGTGCTAGCTCACTGTTGGTTTCTCGTTGCTGTTTTCTCTTGCTGACTTGTAAATATTAATAAATAATTCTGTTTTCTCTTATTTCACGCAGAAAGCCCTCCCCTTCTGACTGGAGCCCTCACTGTTGTGAGTTTATGCTTTGTGTACTTAAAACTTTTGCTATTGCTATTAATTATGAGGGAGAAAAGAGCCTCTGTTGTTGTTGTGGATTAGCAATGTTTGATTGAAACATAAAATATGACCCATTGTTTAATGTTTGGGTGAACACTGGGTAAAAAGCATTTAAAAAAGAATAAAAGTGTGTCAGCCAGTGCATCAGAGTTAGGAATGAGGTCGTCTGGTGGTGTTGAGATACAAGTCCAGACATTTCAGTGCTCAGGTCAAGGTCCAGATTGATGTTTATGGCGAGCGAGCATGTGAGGCATGTCTGACAGTGTGGAAAGCAAACAAAGAAAATGAAAGTTGTACTTGAACCAAACGTGCAACCACATTTAATTGTCATTCATATTCTGTGTGAACGAGAAAGATGTCAACAATCTTGCATTCTGTTTCTCCAGTCCACACAGAATGAAAAGCTGTGGGTTTATGCCAAATACCTGTACGATGCATGGGAACAAAGGATCCGGCTCATGGAGCTGGGGAACTACCAGAACACGTCATTCACCTATGACGTCCTGCTGCTCTTCAAAGAGGTGACCAAAGCAAACACAAGAACGTCTCAAATATTTGTTTTAGTGTGCAAATCACTGCTGATATGATTCTACTGAAGTGGAGACGCATGAGGCCAACAACACAACATGTTATAAGAAAGTATTTTCTTTCCTTAACGTTTTAATGGAATATAATGGGAACTTGTAAGCATGTGCAACTGACGCAATAAAAAGCAGACCATATTTTTTTTTAAAAACAAACAAACCTGACAATGACAGCATATTTAATTAGTTTAAGGTCAGCACATCTTTCTCTGGATTAGAATAGATATTATGGCATAATTTTGGGTGCAAGCACCCATGTATGTTATTTCTGTGCTAGGTTTTGATTGTTATTTCCATCTTCAGCAAACAGAAGTTACTAAAATAACCATCTTCTTTAGACTGAATCATATTGTATGTAACAGCAAAAGAAATTCTCATTCTTACCCCACAACTCATGCACCAGGCTGCCATGTATGAGATCGACGACAAAGCTCATACATGCAAGAAAAAGCCTCTGAAGGCAGACTTCCATCCTATGGAAATCCCAATAAATGCAACTCTGGTGGGCCAAGCTGTCCTGGGCAGCTCATCTGGACCCGGCGAAGGACTCCTGGTCAACACCTGGACTGGAAATCTTCCTGGAAACACAGGTGAGTTGGCATCTAATGTTCAGAACTGTCATCCTGACTGTTTATCTGCACTCTGTTTATGGACACATTTCATGTCTGTCCTTCCAGGAAGGTACCTGACCACCTTCACTGAATTCGGATGCATTCCAGTCAACAGTATGTCCCAGACAAAAGAGTATGGATGGGTGGTGACAGGGTTCGTTTCCTCTCAAGTCTATAGTGTGAAAAATGTAGAATGAAATAAGTTTGCGTGCATCCAAGTAAAAGCTGTGTCGTTTTCTTTGTGCTCACCAGCTTCTTCAACAACGTCATTGGGATTTCTGACCCCGGTCAGCTCAACCCCCCCGACTTCTGCCCAACAGAGATGACGGCGAATGGAGAGCAGCCTGAAGATTTCACCAGCTTGTTCTTTAAGCTGCAGTGAAGGCTTCGGCGGGTTTTTACCTTACGCAGTGCACTGAGATCACCAATGTTGTAAATTGGCATTATATAAATAAAAATGAATGGCATGTAATTGCATGTAATATGCTGTCTCCCCCGTATTCCCGTTTGAAACATGGAGGACAAGTTTGGCCTCATTGTTCTTTCTGTGTATCTCTAACCGGGATGAACTTTGCATTCTTTTTGGCATGCAGAAAATGATAAAGCGGTTCGACAAATCATCTGGTTTTGTTTG